TCAGTATGGAGATAACGAGGTTAGTTCAGTCAGGGAGGGCAACACCTCAACTGCTAGCAGAGCACCTCACCCTCCCTGACTGAACTAACCTCGTTATCTCCATACTGATTTATACCTGCTTCTGGAGATTTCCATTACTTGCATCTGAAGAAGTGAGGTTCTTACCCACGAAAGCTTATGCTCCCAATACTTCTGTTAGTCTTAAAGGTGCCACAGGACCGTCTGTTGCTTTTTATAAATGCCTCAGTTAAACACAGGGGATGGGATGGTTTCCTATGGCATCTGGCCCAAAGTTTAAATTTTATTAAAAGCTTTGCAAACCAAAGAGTAACAGGAGTGTTTCTATGTTGTTGGCTGTAGCTATAATAATAATAATAATAATAAAAAAAAACCACCATTCCCCCCAATAGCACACGATTAGGAACCTACACATAAAGGTAATTTGTTTATTTTCCTTTTTGCATTTTCTCAGTTTGGACCATAAATTGGCACAAACTTGAGTTTTTACATTACTTTCACTTCTAATAATCTGAATAGATAGTAAAAAGTGTGCTTAAAATATATATATTAAAATTCAGTGTCTCTTCAGAATCCATCCCCCCTAATTCTTTAGACAGCAGCATTTCTGACCATTATCAAATTTTCCTTTACTCTGTTTTACCTCTTTTAGAAGGCATATATGGCAATTTACAGATAAGATGTGTATTGTTGACTCCTACTGTCACCCACAAAGATAGGAATAACTTGTAGAGAGACATTTAGAAAATGCACCTAAGCTAGACTACCGTAGTTTTGATATGAATTCTTTCTTGTTAGTTAACAGAGTTAAAACCTAATTTTGTCAGCAGTGAAAGATCTCACTTGCAATATACGGCTCTGCTTCTGCCAACACTTACCTATATGCTTAAATTGATTACTTTTGAGTAGTCTCATAGAAACAATGGGGGAATTACTCAGAATAGTAGTTTGGGTATGCTGTCAGCCGTGTATAGTGGAGATCAAAATTAGGGTGACCAGATGTCCTGATTTTAAAGGGACAGTCCTGATTTTTGGGTCTTTTTCTTATATAGGCTCCTATTACCCCCCCCCGCCCCCAGACCCGTCCCGATTTTTCACACTTGCTGTCTGGTCACCCTAGTCACAAGGGAAAATGCCAGTATTAGGTCAGACTGTCGAAACTTGGCAAACACTTACAAATTGGTGGTATATCCTATAGTTAGATTTAGCCAAACCAGCAAGGTAAATATGCTCCTGGGTCACTTACTAGCTCACCATAAAACCACTGACAGTCTAGCTCAGTGGTGGGCAAACTTTTTAGCCTGAGGGCCACATTTGGTATGGAAATTGTATGGTGGGCCATGAATGCTCACAAAATTAAGGGTTGGGGTGAGGGCTCTCCTGGGGGTGTGGGCTCTGGGGTAGGGCTAGAAATGAGGAGTGCAGGAGGGGCTGTCGGCTGGGAGTGGAGCAGAGGGGTTTGGAGTGTGGGAGGGGGCTCTGGGCTGGGGGCAGGGGGTTGGGATGTGGGGCAGGTGAGGTCTCCGGCAGGGGTGTGGGCTCTGGGGTGGGGCTGGGGATGAGGGATTTGGGGTGCAGGAGGGTGCTCTAGGCTGGGACTGAGGGACCTGGAGGGCGGGAGGGGGATCAGGGCTGGGGTTGGGGATGCAGGAAGGTGCTCTGGGTTGGGGCTGAGGGGTTCAGAGGGCGGGAAGGGGGTTGGGGCACAAGAGAAGATCAGGGGTGCAGGATCTGGGCGGCGCTTACCTCAAGCAGCTCCCGGAAGCAGCAGCATGTCCCCGCTCCGGCTCCTATGCGGAGGCGCAGCCAGGCTGCCCCGTCCACAGGCACTGCCCCTTCAGCTCCCATTGGCCATGGTTCCTGACCAGTGGGAGCTGCAGAGCCTGCATTTGGGGCGGGGGTAGCATGCGGAGCCCCCTGGCTGCCTCTATGTGTAGGAGCCAGAGGGGGAACAAGCCACTGCTTCCAGGAGCTGCATGGAGCCACGGTATGTGCGGAGTGGGGCAAGCACCCAATTCTGCTCCCCAGCCAGAGCTCAAGGTCCGGATTAAAAGATCTGAGGGGCCAGATGCGGCCCGTGGGTCGTAGTTTGCCCACCTCTGCTTTAGCTAGTCTTCTTAGTGCTGCAGTCACATTTACCACCCAGACAAACTGTACTATTGTGCTGAAAGGTTATTAAAACCAAAAATTACCACACGCTGAGTTTTTACAGCCCCCAAAGCCAGTCACTTACCACCAGGTCAAGGTACACTTCAGATCTCCCCAAATACAACGCTGCAGTCAATCCTTTAGTAAACGAACTAAAGATTTATTAACTAAGAAAATAAATGAGTTATGCAGTGGTTTAAAGCAGGTAAATTTAAATTCCGGATGAATTAAAGTGTGTAAATCCAAAATGCTAGTAGGTATGTTATATCAGATACTATTTGGGCAAACCTCTGGTTTACAAATAGTATCAGGGACCTCAATCCTTTGTTCAAAATTTTCCGTTGTCAAAGTTCAGTAGTCCAGAGGTATAGTAGGAAAGAAGAAAGAGGTAAAAGGTGCTTTTTGTACTTGCCTTTTATATCTTGACCTCCCTTCTGGAAAAATTCTAGCTGTTTCCTAGCTTCATTTCGTAGGTGCAGGCTCAGCCGTTCTTCATATGAACTGTAAATTTTGCTTGCACCTTTTGTGTGCTATTGCTAGGGTGTCTTCACAGCTCCTTTTGTTATTCCTGAAGGGCTAACCTGTGGGTGCTTCTGAGACTCACAAGAAGTTTGAAAAGCATCAGAGGGTCCTGTGGCACCTTTAAGACTAACAGAAGTATTGGAGCATAAGCTTTTGTGGGTGAATGCCCACTTCATCAGATGCAAGTAATGGAAATTTCCAGAGGCAGGTATAAATCAGTATGGAGATAACGAGATTAGTTCAATCAGGGAGGGTGAGGTGGTCTGCTAGCAGTTGAGGTCTGAACATCAAGGGAGGAGAAACTGCTTCTGTAGTTGGATAGCCATTCACAGTCTTTGTTTAATCCTGATCTGATGGTGTCAAATTTGCAAATGAACTGGAGCTCAGCAGTTTCTCTTTGGAGTCTGGTCCTGAAGTTTTTTTGCTGTAAGATGGCTACCTTTATATGATAACACTGAACAGCGCACTGATACACAGATACCCTCCCACCAACAACACAGGAAG